ATAACCACACATTTTCTTCCCATTAACAAACTCTAACTTCTTCTATATCTTCTTCATTCCTTAATCAATAACACATTACTATTGAATTCATCATCCATTTTGAGAGTTAATCATTACAAATTGTTTATAATTTTATCTTATAGATTACTATTTTTTCAAAGAAGATATTGCACTGGATGTCAATTTTTTGGCTTTGCATTTACAAAAATGTCATTTTTTAAAGTAGTCAAATCTCATTTAATGAAAGACATATCAAGTATTTAAATTATCTAGAGGGGCAAATTGTTTATAATTTTATTTTATAGATTAATATTTTTTCAAAGAGGATATTGCATTAGATGTCAATTTTTGGTTTTGCATTTACAAAAATGTCACTTTTTAAAGTAGTAAAATCTCATTTAATAAAGGACATGTTAAGTATTTAAATTATCTAGAGGAGCAAATTGTAAATGCAAAGCAAAAAATTGACATCCAGTGCAATATCCTCATGAAACTATTGAGATCGAGGTAAATGACATAAATAAAGCAATCAACGAGTTAGTGAAGAGAGCACCAAAAAATTCTTTAGTGTTGTGCGAGGTCAAGAGGTGACTCTATTGTAGTATACGATCTATGCTCGTAATATACTAATCGATTTGGATTCACTCGTACAATATGCCCTCATTTTCATATGATCTTGACAAGATCGATTATCTCTTGTATAACTACGTGACATAGGGGTGTTATATAGCTATGTATCTACTAATTTTTATCGTTTAGTGGAATCACTTATTTACAAAGGATAAATGAAGACCACTCTTTACATTGCTTTATCTTTATTTATTTTTTTCCCAAGATCATTACTCACATGAGAGGAAAACGGGGCAATTCTCCACCCCTCTTTTTTCGTGCATCGAGTGGAAGAATTAGCCTTTGTTTGATTCCCATTTTTTTTCAAAATACATTTTCATTCTCTTCTCTTCAACCACACGATTTTCAATAAAATAATATTACATACAAACAAAAATATTTTCCTTATTTTTCATATATTCTCTATCAATCTACTATTTCAAAATACATTTTACACAAAAAAAAAAAAATGAGGGATCAAATTGGCCTTTCCGATCTCAATTTTTCATCAAACATCATGAACGGAAACTTTTTAAGTCAAAAACTTAAATATTGATCTCTATTCATAAAAATGTAATTCTAATTTTTGATTTTATATCTCGTTTGGTACAGTTACAAAATTTAAGTGAAAGTCAATAATTAAATTTTAACTGCAAATCACATATTCCATCAAATTCTTTTAATTTTTTTTTAATTCAATTAAGTTATTTGTACATTCAAATTGTATATCTTTATTGACAATGTGTGATGTATAAAAAATCTTATCATTAATTTCAATCATAGACAAATGTGTGGTTGAAAAAGAAGAAAAAAGTATTGATGTGATAGAAAATATTATTTTATTGAAGAATGTGTGGTTGAAAATGAGAATTGATTTGAGAATCAGAAACAAACAGGGCCTAAGTATTATTCAAATAAACGATCAAATTACCAGCAACATCATACTGAATCAACAAATAATAATTTCTCCTGTTCTCACCGTTTGTACAGTATTTGGTGAGTAAATAATAGACAAATGCTACTGTGTAGGGAGCGTTCATTGGCTCTATTCTACGAACCAAGATGATGGATGACACCTGTGCATAGTTCCTCATGATTTGATTCCTATGGTAAGGACAAGAGAAATTAGTAATCCTCCCAACGGATAAATTTAAAAATCAAACGACTCCAATTGATGCTTTCTAATATTTTAAAAAAGTATTTCAGTCGTTCCCAACGTTAGTTACGTTAAAATCTGTAAAGGAAAAGGTGTCTATGATATTTAAAAATTATTACAGTCCACCTCGATGTTACTTCTATCACAAAATGGTCCAATTTCATGTTTCTGTATCATGAAATGAACAAAAGAATGTCTCAATCATCGAGGCCTACCTAATTGAAGGACTTCAACATTACCAAAAATATAATATAGCCTTGGACAAGAAGGAAACTCATCTCATTGCGTATTTTGACAAATCAACATTGATGTTATTGCATTATGTATATGCGTGAAAGCAAAGTGTGGTATAGGAAAATGAGTCTATGATATTTAAAAATTATTACAGCCCACCTAGATGTTACTTCTATCACAAAATGGTCACATTTCATGTTTACGTATCATGAAATGAACAAAAGGATGTCTCAATCATCGAGGCCTCCCTAATTGAAGGACTTCAACAATACAAAAAATATAATATAGCCTTGGACAAGAAGGAAACACATCACATTGCGTATATTGACAACTCACCATTGCTTATGTCTCAATCATCGAGGCCTACCTAATTGAAGGACTTCAACATTACCAAAAATATAATATAGCCTTGGACAAGAAGGAAACTCATCTCATTGCGTATTTTGACAAATCAACATTGATGTTATTGCATTATGTACATGCGTGAAAACAAAGTGTGGTATAGGAAAACTATCATAACATTAAAAATAAAATAATGCTATGTAGCATGCTGGAGTTGTAATCCAGTCTAAGTGATGCTGATGATAGACTAAATGAAAGGTGAATCATTTAATTTCGCTTATCATTTATTGTCACATCAACGCCACTCCAGTGAAGTTAAATATCATTCCACTTATCATTTAATGTCACATCAACACCATTTACATAAATGTTACAGTCCCAATTAGCAAGAGGGATATTATAGAAACACCAACTTGTTTAAACTTTTTTAAAGCAAATGCCCATTGGATTTAATATAGTCATATCTCCAATTCGGCTGAACTTTGTAGAGGTATTAAGAAAATACTCGAGAAGATTGAAAGGTTAGAAGCTAGATACAAATTATAGAATTCGAAGATGAAAAGATTGTATATGTAACGTTTACCGATTATCTCCTTTATCCATGATTTCATAGACGTCACAATATGTGTGATGTTATCGACTTTCAGTTATTTTATCGGAATGGGTGATTTTTTTTAATAGTCTTGCGCATGTTGAAATCTATTTTAATATGCCGATAAGACATCATTAGTTGCTGTTTGGTAACTTTTTGACAATTTATCTATGGAGCCAATACTTGTAAGAGTACTATAATTAATTCTATGCATTCTACAAATGACTTTCTAATTCCATCCGCAAACAGAGTACAATGTAGCTTTCGACGTCGATTATATGGGTAGTCAAATTGCACCGGAAAATCGAACAAGTAATAATAAAAATTATGAACTTTTTATTTTCCTTCTTAACACGGTCTAGTGTTATAGAGATGTATGTCAATCTCCTCGAAGTTAATCCATCATGCAATGTCATCGATGACATTATCAATGAAACGTCTCAAGAAATCGTAAGACGAACCACCTTCCATCAAAGCCATTCTACTGTTGTGTTTCATTTGTTTCATCTTAATCCTCGATTCACTCTCAGGCTCCATTAGACACCTGATTCCCTTCTCTATTTCTTCAGCCTGCACAATCACATCACTGCCCCTCCTATAATCCATTTTTATCTCCACAGCAATTCCCAAATCCTTCACCAACTCGAATGCATTAGTCTGCTGCTCGGCATACATCGGCCATGCTGCAATCGGCACTCCACACCAGACACTCTCCAACGTCGAGTTCCATCCACAATGAGACACGAAGCCACCCACCGAAGGGTGAGATAAGATGGCCACTTGTGGTGCCCATCCAATCACCTTCCCGGTTCCTTCAGTTCGTTGCAAGAACCCTTCGGGCAATACTTCTTCAAAATTTTCGTACTCTGATGGAAACTCGAACCTGTCTTTGGGAGGAGGCTTTCTCAACGACCACAAGAACCGGTGGTCACTCCGTTCAAGTGCAACCGCAATCTCCTTAACCTGGTCGGATTCAAAATATCCCATACTTCCAAAGCATAGAAAAACAACAGACGAAACAGGTTGTTCGTCAAGCCACTTCATGATCTCGTTACGTTCTTTGTTGTCATCATTTTCAGCCTTGACATGAAGAATCGGGCCTATTGGGTAAACCGGTGGGATCTTGTCGTCATCAGATAGGAACTTCAATGCATAGGATTCTAAATCCGAGAAGGTGTTAATCATAATTCCCTTCGTTTCTCTAAACCTTCTTCCCATAGTGAGGAACGCAGCCACACCCTCCTTATCAAAGAATCTAGAAGGAAATACTTTAGTAGGAACTGGATTTATGTATGTTGGAATCAATAACTCAACATCCGAGTTCTTGTACTCAGTGACGTCCACGTTCTGTTCATCGGTTAGACTCTGCATATGGAAGCAGAGCCCAAGCATCGCTGCACTAGTTGTAAAGAAGACATAAGTCGGGAGACCAAACTCATTGGCTACGTCGATCATAGTTGTACAGAACATATCAATAACAAATCCAGCAAGTCTAATTGAGTCGGACTCATCATGGACTATTTTTGCGACAGCATCTCTTATGGGATCCTTGTGGCTTTCTATGAAATGGGAGACAAAGTTGTTGTGAGTGATAGGTTGGTTGAGAGAAAATTCTATGAAACGTATACGCGAATTGGATTTTAGGGCCATGGAATCGGTTTTCAACTCTGTTGGCAACTTCATGATGAAGACTGTGATAGAGAGGCGTTCATCTCTATCAGTTAGAAGCTTAGCCATCTCAATAGTTGATACTAAGTGACCCATTCCTGGAATAGGAATGAAAACAAGCTCTGCTCTCTTTGTTTCTACCATTTTTTTCTGCTCTTCAAATCTTCAATTAGAAGGGAGGCTCTATTTTCTCGGCTCAGCAGCTTCTACAAGATTTATACATGTATATTCTTGGAGATCACTCATAGAGGAGACTTCTGTGCACCTTCACTTTGTATGTAATTAATATATCTTGGAGACCAAGTATGACGATGACGTCATGGCTTTGCTGGTAATCTTGATTTTGTGTGCTCCACATTTGTTTACTTTTTTCCACAGTCCACAGAATTATTTATACCTTTCTACGTCCGGAGTAGTTGATTGAATGCTTTCATTGACTTGTGTTCAGTGATCATATACTGTAGAAGCAGAGAAACTGTTCTTAAAATTAGGATTTTGCTACACTTAGGGCTGTAAGTAAAAATCGCCAAATCGAAAAATCGAATCGAAATCGCAATTTCGAAACCGACGGTTTGGTGCCACGTGGACCCGTCAACGAAATGGTTTTGAACCTAGATTTGAGAATTTTAATTATGGTTTGAAACCAAACCGGACCGGCGAAAAATATATAAAATAAAAAAATAAAAAATTGATTTTTTTTGAAAATTTATCCAAAATTTCAATTTTGTAAAATTGAATAATTTTGTCATTTTGTAGGTA